TCGGTAAAATACGTAATTTGCTTTCAGCACAGAATGCTTGTGATATCAGGGACGTTTCCGCCCCTGTATCGATTAATGCTTTTATTTGCATACTGCTAATTTTTACGTTATAAAACAACTTCTGTTCATGCTTTGGTTCAGAAACTACCGTGCCAACTTGCTGCACGGAAGCGTGTACCAAAGTACAATGCTGTGGGATACACACAGTATATCCCTGTACATTCACATGCTGTTTATCTGGCGGTTTACGTGGTTTGGGTTGGGCTGTGCCAGGACCTGCCGCCCTTACTTGTTTAAAGACTCACTGCATTCACTACTAACACTACTGCTGTCACTGCTATCCGGACTGTCCGGTTCTTTATCCGGCATAAATGCTGCAAATGCGTTTTGCTGGGATACAGGCGGTGGTCCCTCGGGCATCCGGAACACCGGCGCCCGTGGGTTACCTCGACCAATTGCGCTACCACCTCGCCTCACTACCGGCGATGTGTTGCGTGAGCTGGCCGGCGACACCGATCCAGACCTTTCTGATCTCCTAGCGTGAAATACCTCAAACTGCCTGCGTGTACGTTGTTCACCGCTAGGCCAATGGTACTTCTTGTAATTAGGGTTCTGATGCTGTGGAAGGTCTTTCCACCAACAGTTCTCTGTTATGTGGCCATCCACTACACAATGCGTACAGTACGGTATACCAGGGTGCGGTGTAGTACGCACATTGCGAGGACCCTGCTGCGGACCGGCCCGCAACTTCTGCTGTGCTGCCTTTTGATTATTGCCTACGACTGCCGGCTGCGCAGCTGCATGCGCATACGACGGCTTACTGCTTACTGCCGAATTTACAGGATTATTGCTTCTGAACTGCGGTTTATTAAATTCATGCACCCGGTTAAACGGCTTAGGCAGTACGACATTGCTTGAAGTCGACTGCTGCAGTACATTTACCGAGTACTCATCTGTATTGTATCTACTGGGCATCATTGACTCCAGGTACCTGGCCTCGCTTAGAAATTCACCGGGCGTACGTGGTTTGCGCAGGATAATGTCATTCTATAATGCTTTAAACGTGCGTAACCCTTGGATGAGGTAATTTACAAAATGCTCCGGCGGACCGGCAAAACCCGCTCCATCACGCAAAGTACACATTGCTTGATAATACGTATCAATGCTTTCTTTATTTTGATCAAATGTTCTCGAAGCTAATTTATTTAATGCGTTAATTGCTTTATCGGAATCGCCAAAGCGCTCCACGAATGCATTAATCCATCCCTCGAAGCTGATCGGTGCATCCACCGCGACAGATGCAGAACCGTACCACTGCTTCGCGTCTTTCTCTAGTGCATTGCTGATTTCAATAATTTTAGTTGCGTCATCCCAACCATACGTTAACGCGGTCTTATCCAACTGAACGAGGAACGATTCCACATCGTCCTTGTTGCCACTGAATTTGCCTTTAAAGGGTACTGCGGGCTTTACTGTCTGTAAAGCGGTAATTAATTGTTCCGTAAAATTATCTTGCTGAGATTCGGCTGCTCTTCGTACAACCGGTGCAGCTTCAGTATCATCCTCACTGATGTTAACTACTGCTGGAGTAATATTATGATGCTTATTAATGACGCATTTATGCTTTAATAATTCTGCGATACGTTCCTGTGCTACAGCATGCTCCTCATGCAAAGCTTCGTACAGCTTCTCATATTGCTTTCCATGTGCTTTATACATCTGCGAGGAATTTACTGCGGCTGCTAATTCTTCGGAGGTCTTTAAACGCTCAGCCTGTTCATGCTTAAAGTTGTCCTTATACTTATTCAATTGATCGGCCATTTTAGTAATGGCTACTGCTTGCGGTATGCTTTTATATGCTCTTCTGCTTCTGCACGGAGCTTAATAATTTGATGCTTCCAAGAATTTAACACTTGAAACTGTCGATCAATTTCTGCTTCATACCTTGCTGCAGTTACTTCGTGTGCTTTAATAACTTGTTAATATTGCTTTTTCTCTTCTGACCATGCTGCAGCGTAATCATTAGCACGCTTAATCTGCTCTCTACCGTGGAATATTTCATCATGCGCTTTCAGTAATTTTGCTTTTACTTTTTCATTATGCTCAGTTAATTCCTTATTGCGATTACTCGTATCTACCAACTCTTGCTGTGTCTTTTGCAGTAGTGCTTGAATTTCATCGTAATGCTGCTGCGTATTTTCCGTTAATTGCGCTTTAGGAGAACTATGCATCGGTGAATAAAATGCTGGATTACTGGACAGACTCTCTTCAGAAGGAGATCTATTGACCGATAAATTAAGCGGAATATCCGACTAATTGCTAAGAGGTTCAGTATGCTCATTATTATCGCCATTTTCAACAGGTAATTGCTTCGATAATGCTTGTTGACTTTTATCGATATACGGTGGTTCATGCTCATTGTACCAAATGCGCATAGGTGCATCGCGCACTTACTTACATCGAATTTCACCATGCACCTACATACAAGGTAAGCAAAACCGCGCCCTTTTGCACGGCTTCCGTGTAAGTCTGTACGTAAAACCATACCGTGTGCGCACTACATGGCCACCGCACTTACATACAGAATGCACATTATAATTAAAGCGGAATTAGAGTACTGTACTGTACTTTAGATACGATGATTAAAGTCGAGAATTATTATTAATGATTCATACTGCAAAGCAATATCAATGCATAAGCTGATAAACAAAAAATAAAACACAACAACACAAAACAAAAAAATGTATGGAAACAAAATAAAATATGAAATTTATTTGCACCTGCAACACGAAACTGCGAAAATTGATGCAACTGGGTAGCCAGCAAGCGAGTATTAGCGTGGAATGCAGGGTGATATTAAAACTTTGAATACCACAAAAATATTAAAATAATAAACAATAAAGGTGCTAGCACGTTCACACAGTTCTGGGTAGCCAGATCAATGCAGGAACCCGCTGTATTACAAACTAAAATGCCACAACAAATTTACGTTACTGTTCTGCTGCAACGTACACTTCCACGGTAAACAAACAAATTAAAACTAACCCAGTTTATCGTTTATGTCAGTAAGTTATTTAAAATGAAAATTATTACATACCATACGCGTGCTGTCCAGCATTATGGGTAGCAGCGCTACCGAAGAACAAGCTCAGAGCGCAGTCAGCATATCCACCAGCTCGGTAGCCAGCAAGCAGGGTTCCCTGCGATGCAATGGTAGCAGCAAATAACAAGAACATTACAGATTTTTAAAGAAAGCCCAGATGCATATTTGCACGCCACTGGCTCTTTCTCTGTCTATCTGCAATATGCACTTGGCAGAACTATAAGTGCTGTCCCGGGTGATTTGGCATCAAGTCACGGCAGTTGGATAGACCCAACTCACTTAAGAAAGCAGGAGCCACACGGTTTATTTGTCCGACTACAACTGGAATCCCAGAAAAGCAGGCTTCCTTGGTGCATGAACCCAGTACAGAATAGAAACTTTGCAATTTTCCACAGTAGTAGTTTAGGCTAATAAATTTGAAAAATCAACTTAAAAAAAGCCCGTTGTTCTACTGCCATGATTCTTGACGCTTAGTCAAAGTATGGGGAAATGACCACGTGGTTTAGAATTTTACCATTGGCGGTGGGCAGCCTTGATCTAACTCAAAATGCTAACCCACTAATCAATATCGCAGAAACGCGAAGTTTGTAAGTAGCTGGGAGTCGCTTAGACCCGTTACAAGGTACGCCCATGTTGGTAACGGTTTTCGTCGACGCCGACCGGCAGACATCGAGCAAAAAGCGAATTACATCGAAGCCCAGCCAATTGGGACTTGGTACGCCTATTTCTTACTTCGGTGTAAGTCGCAGATGTTCGATATAAGTCCGCGTTTTGACTCTGCGCATCCTTTCTATTATCAAAGGCGATTTCTTGATCAGGATCAGGAATTGATAACAATTCCGAATCATGAGTAATATTGCTAGCAATAGACTGATAAGACACATGCGAGTTTGAAGATGCTGACCTTTCCGGTAATTTTTTGGCATTACCATTAAGTGCGCTGAGTGCCGATGGATATGCTGGAGACCTTTGCAGCTTACTGCTTCGCCCAATTGCTGCAGCTCCTGAATTTTGAATAGCAGCATCGGCCAATAATGCGAAAGCTGACTGCGAATTGTGAGCGCGAGCACGCGCACGAGTATTCACATTATGCTCTACTGCTCTTGTTTTACCTGAAACTGCTTTATTTTTCTTCGTTTTCTTATCCACTGCTTCTTGCTGCTTTTGTGCACAAGGTTTATTGACCAGATGGGCCGGTTTAAAAATGCGACTGCCGACAGCATTAAGCAAGTCTCTCCCAGGAGGCCGCTTCTCTTCCATGCTGCCTAAAGGTTACCACAATATTGCTTTTGTTACGATATTTTGCTTTATTTAAAAATTATCCACCGACAAATCAATCAGTAATGCAGGGCGCGTGCAGCTACATGCTGCACGCGTTACGTAACTTGTTACAATTTCCAATGCAGGGCGTGCTAGGCACGCGCTTATTACGATTTAAAATCTTCAGCTGACACAGTAGGAAGCGCCAGTCTGAATAGGCTGCTATCCGGAAATGCTGTGCCTGGCTGTTCACACAGCAACAGGTTAACGCTCGAGAAAAATGCTGCACTACCGTTCAACGTCTGGGTCAGACGTTGATCGTTGAATGCGGAAATTCAAGAATTCTGACTTCAAAAGGTCCGAATAATGCTTAGAAACTGATGTATCTAATGCTGAAATACAGTCCGTAAATACTGTATTTAATGCTGAATTACGTTCGTTTACTAGCTAACTGCTGTGAATGTAGTAAGATAAAATGCTGTGACTTTGAATACTGCGATATCAATTCTGCATACAATGGTGTTGTCCCTTACTTCCAGTTAATTTTCAAAAAGAAAACCAAAAAGAAAAAGGAAAACTGCAGTTGCAAGAGCGAAAGTTTTTCAAAATCAGTTAACCAGCTTTGCTGGCAACTCACTGCTTCGATCTACCACAATCCTTGCTGCACGGAGTTTCGAGAACCGTGTCTCACCGCAACACTTCTCTCCACAAACCAAACTGCACGGGTTTCGCGCACAGTGGCTCACCGCTCCGTAATCCACAAGTACCCGAAACCCTGCAACTAGGCTCCAGATATTGCTGTCAGTAAATCCCGGTAAAGGGCAATGCTTCACGACAAAATCACGACAATACCGCTTCAAAGAATTGACGTCCACCACGCCAAGTTCCCAAGAAGATGAGATATTGCTTGGAAATATGAAATTATGCTCAGATTTGGCGGATCTTATGACTCTGCTACCATGGTAGCCATGCCACGGGGCAGGCTAGGAAGAAGAACGATTTCCTATGAACATCTACGAGAGAAACACCGTCCACCTTCCGATACGCTTTTATTAGTCAAAACCGTAATCATAAGAAATTCTAGAGTTGTGCGATCATAACTTCTCAACTAAAGTTCTCTGACAAACACCCAGCGGATCAGAACTTCCAAGCTCAGTGTTATCGCAACAGCGTAATACTGATCTTCTGTGTACTGCGTTGTACCTGTCTTGGCTATCGAGCCAAGTGCTGAACACGGTTAATACGGTGCAACAGGTAATGATAAGACGTACGTGTTAATGCTAATAAGTACTGCATATGCACGGGAGATGGTGACGTACTAGCGTCATCCCTAACACTACAGATATATCTGCCGTTTACGCACGCGAAAGACGTTAACGCCTGATTATAAACGCATCTTCAGGGTACGTACATCTTTGCTGCGTTCAGTTTCGAAAAACACGGACCCGGGGGAAAATCTGCAGTCGCCGCACTCTGTAGTTAAAGAAATCGGATAGCGTCTGCAACAACAAACTAGCGAACCTTGCTTAAACGATTTCCTTCACTATTGATATTCGCTCAAGATAAAAAAAGGCAACGCCGTTCTCGTGTCCATGGATGGAGCGGAGAATTTCAACGAACGGTTGTTGTTAAAACACTACTTACATTTTGTTTTGATATTTATTGTGGAAAATATTGAAGCTGCACATAGACTTGACTTGAGACTTGAGACTGTGCTGTCGGTTAGCAGCTACGCAGCAGAACTTGGAAGTCTATGCAACATGCCGAGCTGTCGAATCACCACGTCTTTTTAGCACTTATCTTAGCTGCATTACTTCAAAACATTTTTACTCGTCATGACTCTGAATTTCACCAGAAAAAATTTGTTAATTCTCTTATTGCTCGTTGCGACACTTTGCAGAGAAGTTTCAGACCTTTCGACCCTTTGGGCTCTTGTGGGAGCAAGTGATTTTTTTCCTATTGAAATCCCAAAACGGGATTCCAGGCAGACGGACTGTCACTCACAAGTCACAACCGATGGCAATCCGAATAAGCGACACTTGTCAAAGTTTATGTTCGGTAATTTTCAAAGAAAAAGTTTGAAAATTATTATTTTGAGCCATTAGCGATGCGACGTACTCAGACCAGAATTAAATTGTGATTCGGATTTGTGCTCGTATTGCTTTTAACAAAATTGTTATGTTTCAGCAAAATTGTAACGTTTCAGCATTTTTCAGATGCGGACAACTTTCTAAAGTTTTTTAACATCAAGAACGAACAAATGTTACAACGCGATCTGGAAAGGAAGATTAAGAGACGGGTAGAAGAATGGTCGGGAGTGAAAAATGTATTGCATAGCGCAACATTCGGGATCCGGAAGTATTCTCGGGGTATGCACTCGGTTCTTATTACGTATTTCCGTATTAAACGCATGTCTACCTACTGGGTAGTCAGTAATTTAGGACTATTAAGATAACCTTTCAAACCCTTTAAAAACGTCAAGAGTTGATGTAAACGCAAAATAATAACTGAGTTATTGTTTTGTTTTGCTGCAGGTACAGTTTTGAAACCACATGTCGATCGTTACAGCACGCACGTTTTTTCCGCAATTGTCAACGTTCAGCAGGAAATGGATAAGCCATGGCCGCTGGTTGTTTTCGACCATAACGGCAAGCGACACGATGTGTTGTCAGAGACCGCTCACTCGAGGCGGTGTGGCTTGCTCTGTCGCCCGCACGCATATGGTCATGCCATTCGTGCCGCTCATATGCGCTGATCACGTCAGCGTATACTTTGTCTACGCTGACCAATCAGCGTTCGCTATGCACTTTTGGCGGTGTGGCCCAGCGCTTACGAGCGATCCCATGCTTTGCGGTACCAGCTGTGATTCAGCTGCAGCATTCCGCGGCATTACGTTGATTTTCACCGAGCTCGCTAGCAGCAACTTTTTTCCACAGCTTTTCCGCATTGGTTTTCTGTTGGTTTTTGTTGGCTTTACTGCTACACAATAAAGGAGATATTTGCTCCCATTTTCGCTCCCTGCTTCTGTGTCATATCTGACATGGTAGCAGATGCGTTCGGTTTTCCTTTCACGAACCTCTGAACCCCAGTGGAGGCATATTTCGGTCGAAGGAACCACACAGCTACTATAAGTAGTTCTGTGCCTTGCGACCTTGAATTGGTCGCCACTCATCTTCCTGTATAATACATGCTTCACTGGAACCCTGCCACGCGACGGATTTCCTCATACGGGCGTTCGCCTATAAGTAGGCGCCCCGACGCAGCGGCTCCACGCGCAAAAACTGCGTTGGGTACGATCCAGTTGTCCAGATGAAGGGCCCTATCGGGTTGCAATAATATGGGCGTTCGCCTATAAGTAGGCGCCCCACGACTTGGCACCCAGCGCAAAAACTGCGTTTGGTAAGACGCTGATCCCAACTGACGCATTATCAGGAGCGCTGCGGCCCACACGGTTGAAGAGGGTGAAGCGGACAACGGAGCAGCACTGTCTGGACGAAAACGACCGGTAAGACCTGCTGGGGCGTCGTAGGTTTTCGTACAACTTTCGAAAATTTCAGGGTTTTTCGTAGAACCAAAGCTTTAAAAATTAATAACTTTTGAACCTTTCATCCGATCTACGTAGACGTTGCTTTTTCGGAAAGAGCGTAGAAAGTAGGTTTAGAACCGACCACCTTTACTTTAATAAAATTACTTACCAAATTTTTGCGAATTTTTTGGCGTGAAAACACTGCCATTTTGTCCAGCCGGAATTTTCGCGAAAAGTCGCGTGACGTCAGTGTGGTCTTCTTCCGTATAAAATCTGACCAATCAGAGCATTTGGGAAATTTTCCCATGTTGTAAGGATCGTAATGAGTCACGTTGTTTTTTAAATTTTGCTCACGGCACGCTACTCGTGACGTAGAGCTAACTGCAAGACCACTAAGTACGTGACGTCACACTGGTCAGTAACGGAACATAGGGCCATAGGCAGCTAACGCTACACGTAAGCTCTAGCGCACCTGACCAGCACCGATCCAGAGCCAACGTTCCGGTCTTGACCCAAAAACCAAAGATTTTTTTTAAGTCCCAATACCATGGGCCAGACTCATAGCGCCTTGGCCAAGGTGATGCCTTACACCAGCCATGACCAGCTCCAACGGAGACTGTTCAGTCCTATGGACGGGCGCCAAACCAATGAATACACCAAGCCTTTGGGTAAAAACTACTCAAAGTGAGGTGCGGCGGGGCGATACACATTCCGCACCGCCGGACACGCTGACTCCGACCCGGACCAGCCATACTCGACCGTCTCAACGAGTTCGGTCGAGACCAAAGAAAGGCGGGACAAACAAATCCTGCCACCCGACTTGGACATAAGCGGGGAAAGCTTCGACGCCACCATGGACGATACATTCCTCGAAGCGCGCGAGGCACTGTCCGAGGCCAACTCGCCTAAGGACAGCCAACCTGGTGCTGATAACTCGGCCCAGGCCAACAGTGTCCCTCGGGACTTGGCACACCATCCGCCCATACCTGGTCCGGGCCAAGTCCAACTTGAGGCACCAACGGTGACCACAGGTGAGGATAAGACACGACATAGTGGACCCGGTGCCGATAACTTGGCTCGGCCCAACCATGTGGCCCAGGATCTGACATCAAGTCTAACATTAGCGGGCTCGGACCAGATCCAACCTGAGGCACCAACAGTGACCAAAGTAAGGCGCATGACCAAGGCTAAAAGCCTGGTCCAAAGGCACATGACCAGCGCCAACCGCCCGTGAGTCAGTCGCCAATCATGTTAGAAGTTGATTGTTCGAACAACGCAACGCCATAACCAACCAATGACGTCATCGGCGCGCCAGGTCGGACCAAACAGGGCCCGGACCTCCCACCATTGGACCTGGGACATTTAAACAGGACCACAATGAGGATTGACCTGAACCAGTCATACTTGGACATTAGTCGCGCCGCATTTAGCCCAGACAAGCTAATCCAGGCAACCCCGCCCGAGGACATCGAAAACATCGAAGTTCTCAGGACCAGAGTGCGGGACCTGACCAAACAGCTTGTTGCTGCTAATGAAGTCGCCCTCTCAGCTGAAAAGTTGATGAAAGAGGAAATCGACAAGTTTCGGACCCTCGCATTCAAATCGGATGCAGAGGCAAAACGTGCTCTGACCTTACAGGCTCAGACCCAACTTGAGTTTGCTAAACTCAAGTTGGCCCCGTGTCCTGATGCTGAGCGAGACCAGCTCAACTAGGACATACACCGCTTAGAAGTAGCGGTGGCAAGACTTGAATTCATACTCGCCTCAACGAGGACCGAGTTGGCCCAGGCCAAGAATGACATGACCCAAGCCAGGGCTACCATTGACCAAACTGACAAGGAGACGGACCGTCTCCAGACAGACAACGGTCGCCTAAACGACGATCTCGCCAACCTGCAGGACGAGATCTACCACCTGTGGAATGGATAGAATATGCTGCACCAGAACTACCAGACTCTGCTGCAAGCAACTCAACCTGGACGACAGTTGGACCAAACGGTCCGACAGATGGAAGCACAAATCGTGCAACTCCAGCAGCAGAACGCTGCCCTCCATGACCAGCTCAGGACCGAGTCAACGGCTCGGGCCCAACTGGCACAAAACAGCGCTATCAGACAACCGAAATTTGCCCAATTGGGGCAGGCCTTCACCCAAGCCAAACTGGTTATCCAGGGCCAACATGATCGGATCATCAACTTGGAGGCCAACAATGCCGGTCTGGTTAAAGATTACCAGACGGCCACCCAACGCATCACTGAACTTAACGAGGACCTGGAAAGGCTAAGCACGGAGAATGCCCGCTTAGTTGCGGAAAAATCACATCTCGAGAACTTACATTCCGAGATGTCCGCAGAACCACCCTCTTATCACACCTTTTCGGACTCGGAAACACAACGTCGAGGTCATTTTAACGCCGAGCGTGGTTTCAGACTTTAAAATGAATATCAAAAATTAAAAAAAAAGCATTCCAAAATTTGAAACAGATGGTGGAAACCTGACGTACTCGGTGTAAAACGGTCTTTATAAGAGAATTTGTTTGCATGCAATAGCTCAAGAAGACCGATCTATAAGGAGACTTTGGCATCACTCTACGCATTTATACTTTTGAAATCTTTTTTTATTTCGATCACCACTCTCTCCAGCAGGATGTTGCGCGCATGAACGGATTTCGCGTCAGTGTACTCGTATACAAATCAGTTGACTATAGAATGATAAAAAAAACAAAGGAAACGAAGGTACCGAGGACGGGGTGCGCGAAAACGAAAGTGTTTATTTATGGACCCCAATTTTACACCATGTTCTGGCTCCCTTGCCTTATTTATTTCATGGACAACAGACCTTATCTGCTTATTTTCCATTTTTACCGAAGGTAAAACGAATGTTACGAAAGTCGAGTAAGAGCAGATCAAAAGTGGTGTGTCTGCTGCATCGCCTTCCCTGCTGTTAGCCTGTACAGTACTAGCCCGGTGAGTGTATAAAATACTGTACCGTAGTGAACCGCTTAAAACACTACGCTCACCCGCAAGCCGTATTCCGGTTGTGTGCTTCCTCGCTGCGGACGTACCGCGATCGTATTTTTGACGCGGTATTGCATTCGTTTTTTTTCGGTGCTTTGCGCAAACGCCAAAACACTGTGTGACCTTTATAAATTTTTCATGTCGGCGATCACTTATGCACTTCGTGGATGGCCAATAATGCTGTTAACACTTGAAAATTATAAAGTTGGCAAAACACTTGGATAACGCAAAATAACTGTGGCACATTTTCTGTGGCATTTGCCAGATTTTATCGTTTGCCACTTGCCAGAGTCTCCAGGCTTTATCGCGCGCCTTGCCGTTGGCAGTGCCTCTGGCAGGTGCCAATGCAACGTTTTACCTCCTGCCAAGAATGCGTGCCATATTTATTGTTGCACACTGTTAAATATTCTTGTTGTATTTCAAGGCACGATGGTAATTGTGGTCGCATACGTCAATTATGAAACTCTCATGGGAAATAAGTTGACCACTTGACGAAGCTGCGACGCAGCTAAAAGAACCTTCTAGACACAGTCGGCTGCTGCCGTTCAAGCATGTTCTGAATATGGTTTCCACTGAAAGCTCCCAACCAAAAGGTGCGAAGTGGAGAAAGACATTGGCAAATAAGTCACCTTTGAAAGGAAATGGCCTTCCATGAATTACTGTAGCGGATTCATACAACATTAAATCAAACGTTTCGTTTAAATACACTGTCAGATATGACACAGAAGCAGGGAGCCAAAATGGGAGCAAATACCTCCTTTATTGTGCAACAATAAAGCCAACAAAAACCAACAGAAAAACCAATGCGGAAAAGCTGTGGAAAAGTGGCTGCTAGCGGGCTCAGTGAAATCTTGATAATGCCGCGGCGTGCTGCAGCTGCGTAACAGCTGATACCGCAAAGCATGGGCCATCGCTCGAAGGCTGGGCCACACCTCCAAAAGTGCATAGCGAACGCTGATTGATCAGCGTAGAAAAGTATACGCTGACGTGATCAGCGTATATGAGCGGCACGAATGGCGTGGCCATATGCGTGCGGGCGACAGAGCAAGCCACAAGAGGTGTCTACCGCCTCGAGTGAGCGGTCCCTGACATGCCACTGGGCGGGAGTTTGAGCTCCTGCGAGCACCTTCCGACTCTGCCTCTGGCCAACCCGGTAGGGTGCCAGGATCCGATACCCGGTAGGGCCGGATGACACTTTGTCTGTTGCCCGGTAGGGCCGCTCTCTCCAGACCCGCGGTGCATGCACCGAACGGCCGAAATCTGGAGGGCACTTTGTGTGCGGGAGGTTCCAGTGTGGTTTGATGAGGCTTCTTCGGTCGATGAACTAAAAAATAAAGTTTATAAGGCTCATTAAAGTAAACATCACAATTCAAGTGAGATTTAAAGTAAAGCAAGAACATGGTTAGAGATCCCAAAGCCAAATTTCTTTGGTTAGAAGGCTAAATAAAAACATCAATTTCTTTGGTTAATAAGTCTAGAAAAACCAGGTGTGGTTAGAAAACTAGGCACAAATACTCATTCCGACTAGGCTTGTCCACAGGGCAGATTCTGCACACACGGGTCCTAGTCAACGGTCCGCTTAATCCGGTAGGATTGGCCTGGTCTTGTGGATCTGGGACGACGGTTCCCAGAGATGTCCACAGTGTCAAGTGAAGTAATTCGGATGTGGGGATGCAAGCTGGTTAGGCCATGCGCCTCGGGCCAAAAATTTCTAAGTTCTAGTGCGCCCCGGTTGGGTCACGCATCTCGGGCCAAAATCTTCTAAGTCCAAGAGGGCCATAATGGGAAATTTTCTAAGTCCCATGACCAAAGTGGTGTGATGGACCAAACCCGTTGGGGCGGTCCATCTCGGTCTCTGACATGCCTTAGGCGGATTACAGAGCTGCAGGATGACGTGGCCTTGCCTCTGGCAGTTGCGGGAGTGGGAGTGTTGCTTTGGCGCTCCGTTGTGGACTTAGTCGTTTTTTCGACGTTCCAAGGTGGATGGCGGGCCAGAATGGTGCGCCAAGGTAATTGGCGGGCCAAAGTGGGAGATTTGTTGAATCTGCTTCTTCTCACTGGCCGTGGGCCATGAGTTAACAACCACCACGTCGGATCTGCAGGTTTCCCTGAGACCGTGGCCTTAACAAAAATTATTGGCTTCTGACGAAAACATCAGGCTGGCCTGGCCAAACTCCAATAATTAAGTTGTGGGTGCCGGTAGGCGTTTGCCAAGGAGTGTCCGGTCTGCTGACTAGGAGGATCTTCATTTGGCCTCTGGCGGTGAGTTCTGGCACCTCTGGGCGGTTGGTGATGAAATCTTTGTTTTTGCCTCTGGGCGGTGCATGCAAAGGTGGGCGTACCACAACTTCTATGTGGCTGCCATAACCCACTGGTCCCAGTTGCCTGGTGAAGCAACTAGATTCGTGAGCCGCATATGGTCCGTTCGACACACAGCGGGCATGGTCCAACTTCTATGGGCCAGGACTTGGCCACGGCTTGCCGCAACTTCTATGCGGGCCATGACTGGTCCACGGCTTGTCGCAACTTCTATGCGGGCCATGGCTTATCCACAGCTTATCGTAACTTCCATGCGGGCCGTCGCCACCTTCTGGGCGCTGAATCTCTTCCGTGCCGGGGAATTTAGCGTCGCGCCGAGTTCGGTCCGGTGGACTCCGTCGGATGGTCTGGGATGGCCAGGCCAAATTCATGGTCCAAGCCGCTAAGCCAGAGCCAATCCGGGGAATCCGGTTAAGATCCATGGAATAAGGTCCGGTAAGGTAGACTTTACATGGCCGTAAGCCACGTTTGTTGGGCGAGGGTAACAACCGCTGGATTGTACCCATGATGGTGGCTGGCTGGACTTCTTGACCGGATTGGCCGGCCTGAGACTGGTTCTGCGAAGACGATGCTGCCGAGCCCTGAGATCGAAATTTCGTTGGAAGTTTTTGCGCGGCCGTTCGGTTAACGAACGACTCGGCTGCGAGGTCATGGTTATCCGGCTGGCGGTAAAGGTAATCCTTAGTGTGACTCCTGAAAGTGTTCAGTGCACTCTGGATCTTAACTCCTGCTTCGATCTCGTGGATCAGGTTTCCGCGCAGGGCCACATGGGTGAGGAGTTGAGGGATGATCTTCCCTTGCCGGCAGGCAACCTCAAGTTCCCAGTGGCTTCGCAGATAGCCAAGTGTGGCCGCGAAGATGCGAATGACCGTTCCGTTCCATGTGTACGTATAGGTCCCTGCTGGGGCCTCTTCGTAGTTTTCCGGTCTGCGTGGGATTTGCATTGCGGCCCGTGCTGCTGTGACCAGATAACTGGCTTTCGCATCCGGTAGGACGCACTGAGCAAGATACTTGGCGAGATCCAACTGGTCATCGCGAATGTGCAGTTCGCACAAATCATTCCAGTCCGGACGTGTAATGGGTTCGCTCAACAGGTTCACATCCGTGCTGCACGATAGTGCATTGTCACGGACTATCGAGTATCACTCACGATTTGCAATGTGCTCAGCCATGCTGAAGGTGTGGGGCCAGTCCTTTCGCTGGAACTCCCGTTCGAGTTCGGACGACCTGACAAAGTTTTGCAGGTCCATGATGATGGCGTCAATCTGGGCCCATTTAGTCCGTGGGTACGGGATGGCCTTCATAATGTAATCCGTCACCTCCCGATGGGGACGTGGGCAGATGTTGACGCCTTGGTCGGCCCCATACTTATATGGGTCGAAGTCTGTCGTACTGGTGCCAGCGTCAGATCGGGCCGGTGGGTCCGATGACGGTGGTGCGGGATCCGTGTCCATTGGGACATGGATGCTGATGTTCTGGGCCACTGAGCTAACGGTTCGCTCGGGCCTCTTATTGGTGCGGGAGGCAACCAGGCCATGCTCCTCATTCCGCTTTCCAGGCGAGGTCCAAGTCTGTGGCGGGCGCTCCTGAGGACGGCCACGAGTCTGGTGGCCGGTCTGGTCCTGGTGTCGGTTCTCGATGTAATAGCGCAAGTCATCTGGCAGCCGCAGTAGCGGTGCCGGTTGCGCGGGCGCCTACTGTTGAGTAGGTGCCGGTCATATTGGCCTTTTAAGGGATCCAACAGTCCTCCTTCAATCAGCTGTTTGGCCACCTGGTCCACCATCTGTTTGTTGATGGCGGCCATAAACTGGTCGTATGTAGCCAAAGTTGACGCCCCATGCCCGTCGGGGTGAGAGCCTGGCGATGGCCGGCGCTGGCGGGACTGGTCATGAGTTTTCGTGACGGCCGTTTGGCAGCGCCCTGATGATCTCGTTCTGCCTTCTTTTCTAAAGCCAATTGGCTGAGAATTGGCGGCTGTGCGCCCATGCCGCTCCAGCCGGGGAGTCTTTCGCCGCTACGCTGCATATAGAGATCGTGGATCTCTACCTGTTCATGATCCCTCAGTAGGGGGAGAAAGTGGCGTCCCTCTCGGCTGGGCATGTGGCAGTACGCAAAGAAGTTGCCTCTCAACACTTCTAGGTAGAAGCAATAGGCTCTTTCGCTTTCATCGCGGAAACCGGGTCGCAAGTGGTACGCGCAGGGAAAATACTCCCGTCGAGAGTTTTCCCTCCGGCCGGACAAGTCCAAACTGTTCCGTTTGCAGTCCGCGCATTCTGATCCATACTTCAGCTGCGGGGTAAGTCCCATTCTCTGTGGTAACAGAAATGAAACATGCAGAAAACTGGTGAAGTCCACTTCGGAGACTGGTCCCTGTGATAATTACGCCCTATGATTTTACGTCCCTATGAATTTTACAACCCGCCCCCCCCCCTCTGCAACTTGTATGCTGGGTCACTGGTGATAAGACTTCCGCTTCTGCTTTTTCTTGGTGGAATCCATAGCCGGCGAAGCATTTCGGTGAACATTTCGTAATCTTCCGGCTTATTCTGGTCCTTAGCCTCTTGTATCTTTCTGAGGAGGTAAGGATATTGCCGTCGGTCATTATGCTCGGCGTGGGCCACAAGGTGCCTCTGCTTCGTTGGACTCAAAGTACTCATAGGCATTAAGGCCGAATCTGCTTCCACCTGTTCGGTCGGACGTTTGATGGCCTTCTTGGCTGTTTCCGGGACCAAGGATGCTGGTGCGGTTACGGTGATTTGCACTTCGTCAAGTGTAGAATCCACGGCCACCGTTGGTGCCGGGATCCGTTCCACCGCTATGGTCATGACCGGCTGTTGGGAAGATGACGTATCCATCTTCTACTTGTCTGGTGATTTGCCTGGCCGGATCGGTGTGA